CTCTCTGTCCTCGGGGTAAAGCTCATTAGTAGATGGAGTCTTGTTTTTATGCAGATTTCATAAAGCCTCAGCTCCATGTTTCCTATTTCTATTTGTCCCACATTTCACCTTAATGATGATAGACCTGGCTAGGAGGACTGGGAAGGCAGGTGAGGACAAATACAGCCACGTGGGATAGATGGGATGGCAGCCCATTGCCTAGACATTGGCAGATGGTACTAGCAGAGACAGCATAGCATGTCCAGCAGATCTGCATAGGGCCTGAAGAGATGACACTGAAATTATGGGAAAACTGCCCACATCCAGAGGCACAGCTGGAGGCCAGAGGGGGTGTGCAAAGCTCCTAAAATGACAGTAAATGCATTTAGTCAGCTATGTCAGTGGGGTTTAAACAGAAAGGGTGAGATGAGGTGGTGGACGATTTGGGGAGAATGAGACACTGTTTGTGTGTGTAGAGTTGTACCTTTTTCTGGGAGTAAACCCCCTCCTACTTGTTGAGCAGTAGCTCCAGCATTAGAGATGGTCATGCAGGCTTTACGTGGTTGAGCTTCCAAAGGGAATCATTTGAGTAGAGCTGAGCAGAAGTGTGTGATGCAAATTGGAATAATGTCTTTTTCTCTTCTTTTTTTTTTTTTTTTCCCCCTTTTTTTTTTAAAGCTTGATAAATCAGTAATAAATGCAATTGCTACAAACGATGAATCTGCAAAAAACAAAAGCCTGGTAAAGATTTGGTGTGTAACTGAAACCAATGTGGTGAGTATTACAATAAATTCATTGTCAGGCTCCTCAGGAAATGTTTTACTGATCTGTTGCTGACAATCCTTATCACAGGATTGTGAAACTGGATTTTTAAATGAGTATTTTTTTCAGCAGAAAAAAGAATGAAAACAATTTAAAGTAGTTTTTCTCCACCTAAAGCAAGGATGTGCCACCAGTGGTGGGCTTGACCTGGTTGCTTTCGGTACCACGCAGGCCCTTGCTTATCAGAACTGGTGGTTTGGAGCTGTGCCTTTCATATCCAAATGCCTTTAAACTCTGATACGCCTACTGACTCCCTGAAAGTGGTAAAAATCTGCAATACAGGCCAAAGAAAATACCTTTTGCCTACCATTTATCTATTGATCCAACCAGCTTTAGTCTTCCGTGTGTTAGTGTGACCTGGTGGCAGCTGGTTATTTGCAGCTTTCTTGGAAAATTGCCCTCGGAGAAAGCCTCTGTGTGGCCAAATCCCATTGTTCTTCACCCAAGCAACACTGCAGCTGGAAGGAATCTTTTGCCCAAATCGACACCAATGAATATTTTGGTAGACTGCGGAGCTGAGTATTTGGGTGGTGTTATTCAGCTAGCTAACAATTAGAGCATTAAATATCCCTTGGATCTCTAATGAGACTATTCTACTTGCTAGTGCGTATATAAGGTAATTCCTGAAGTCCTGAGGCAGAAGGTACCTAAGGACAGATAGTGGAGGTTAAAATTGAGTGCTTGGGTTTTTAGAGGAGCCCAGCTCCTATGGAATGATGGTCTGGATGGCCAGTGAAATGCTAGCTAGGGAGACGGTGTGAGGAGCACAGAGCTGTGCTGATGTGAAGCTCTGCTCAGGTTATGCTGCGAGGAGGCGGGTATTCCACCTCAGGGGAGGCGCGATGCCTGGCAGCTCTGCTGCTTCCAGGCCCCCAGCTGCTTCGCCGCACTGCCCGGGCAGGCACAGCCTAACCCTCAGTGAGGTCTGAGCCCCCGAGTCCTACAGTCCCTCCACTCTTGGAAGACAAGCAACTACATGGGCAGTGTAGGCTGAGGGTTACATTTCCGTATACACAATTTTTACTGTGTTTGTCTGTGTTTTGGCTGTGTACCTACTGCCCAAGCATACAGTCGAATTGCCAAAACACTTGAAACCCCTATAAGCTTGACTTGAACTTGATGGGGGAAGAGGAATATCATTTAAATGATTTACATTCCTAGTGGGTTAAACTAATTTCTGGCAAAAATGATTAAACACAATTATGGCAGGGATAAGTACATGCAGACCCCATATGTTTAAAGCAAAACATAAAGATAAACATTTTGATCTAATGCAGCTGCTTTGAAACTCAGATGTCTGAACAAATTTCAGGAAGGTGAGAAACAACATCGTGTTGTGTTTGTAAAGGCTGACGTGTTGGGGCAGGCTGGGGACCAGGCGCTCCCTGAAGATGTGGGGGCACTGGATCCTTCCACGGCTTCGTCCATCTGCTGGAGGGGCGATGCCAATGTGGGTGTCCGCAGGCAGTGTCCAGCAAGAAGATATGACCTCTTTCCCCATTTCTGCAAAAGGGAATCACTTGCACATGTCTTAAAGATACCGCCTGTTCAGCAGTGTGGTTCAGAGTCCATTTGGCTGCTAGCTGCTGTCGTGGGGAAGTACAGTTCAGTCAGCAAACTGTTCCTTAATCTGCGTAAGGACTTATGGACCTAGCGTCAGAATGCAATACATCAGGGCTAGGAGCTCTTATAAACAAGCTTTTATTGCGGCATAAATAGAAATTCAGGTTCAGCTCAGTAATATTAATGCTAATCATAGTGATAGTAATTAGGTCTTAGATAACATTTGAGCTTTAGAAAGGAAAGTAGTAGCAGCGCCTCTATCTCTACAGGTAGGAAAACTGAGGCCCAGAAGGGCAGTGTGAGCAGCTCGTGCTGACCCAGTGAAAGTCTGCACCAGTATGGCAGTATTCTGAATCACAGTCCCGTGCAGTATTGACCAGACCATTAACTGCAGTTACGATGGCAGTTAAGAGTGTCCTTCTTTGATCCAAGGAAGTTGTGGCACTAGCTGGAGAAGGAATGGCACTGTCTCCCAGCTGCAGCCAGACATGAAGCTCTTTCCACAAACCCTGAGATCAGTAGCAAAGGTTCTTAGCTACTGAGGGCTTGGTGCTATGGTTATCACAATGAAGAAGGTTTGGGTGATATTTTTTACTTTAAATGTTGTATTGATTGACTTGAGTAACAGCACAACCATTTATTTTAAAAATGCAAGAAATTTTGACTTGTCGTTAATGTGGTGCCAACTTACATATCCACCTTTAGTTGATGTATGCTTGGTTGCAGTAAAAACCTAGAACTTTGCATGAGCGCTTATTGAAGGGTTGTAGGTAACCGAAGTATTTGCTTTGTCTGGCAATCTTTAGACACTGCAGAATGTCACAATTCCACCTTCAGAAAACTGCACATCTCCTGACCTTTGCTGGACTGAAGGAAATTTGACATGGACCCTCAAGAACATAACTGAAACAGAATATATCAGTAAATGTAAGTAGTAGAACTATTTCTCCTTCGGCAATACCTTTACATATGTGTAAAGCTTTCTAATGGTGTTAATAGACCGTTTCAGAGGTATATCGAGAGGCACTTGCCTGTATATGGACCCAAGGTACTATCGCAGGTACGGACAGAGCAGCCCGTGCTCTGTTATAGCTATACAGCTGGAGTTTCCAGCATCATCACGGTATCTGGCTGCAGATAGATCTCTTTCCATGCTCCCTGATATCAGTAATTGAGGTCTTCAGTATCATGTCACCCTCGCCGTTCAGGTGACTGGGAGCTACAGTTACTTTGCTGCAATGGTTGCTTGGATATCTCCATCCCTATGCATGCCCTTCAAGACTTTCAACAGCCCTTCTCAGGCACGCAGCCACCTCTCAGAAGAACCGACCCACCATCTGGCTTGGAGCATACCAAAATTTCCTCACGCCGTTGTATTGCCCTCCCTTGCACATGGTCACCCAGCTCCTGCCTGCCCCGCTGTGTATTTTATAAGTGTGTCTGTACAAAAGCCCCTCTTGCTCCCCTCAGACATGGCTTTTGTGGAGCAAGAGAGGTGGCGTTTTCGCTCTTTGCATCACCCCCTCAAGCTATGTGTGCTTTGGTCCCATTTTCTTAGAGGCACCAATGAAAGCCAGAGATGGGCTTGGGATCGGAAGCAAAAATGTAGCTAGGCCAATTAATTTTCCTTTTCTTTTTCAGGTCGGCATCTCTTTGCAGACTCAGACCTGCCTGATCTTGGCATCGGTCTCATCCTTCTGGCTTTGTCCCTGCTTGTTCTGTGCTCCTGTTTGGTGATGATCGTTAAGCTATTAAACTCTGTGCTTAAAGGACAAGTGGCGAGTGTTATCAAGAAGACAATCAACACTGGTAATTACCTGCTTTTCCTGAAGATTGTTTGCAGGAATGACAAGGACACTGAACACATTTACTGATATCTCCTGTTCTGGCGGATATTATAGAATAGTTTAAAGAAAACAGTATTAAACCAAAATTGTCCCCATCCCAACATTTTTTCTCCTCTGCATATTATTTTCTTTCTTTTAAAAATCTATAAGTGAACAGCTTGCTTGTGAACGGCAGCAGATTAACAGCAACAGAGACCAAAGTCCAGGCTCTGTTTCTTGATGTATAATCATTAGCTGTTAGAAATGTAATGTTTCCATCCTAAAAAGATAGCGCTGAAGTGCTGAGGTTGTGACTGCCGGCTCTGGCACAGGGCCTGCATGTTTCCTCTAGAATAAGTGGAAAAAAAAGGGTTTGTAGTGATTAATGATCTAATTCCCTTTGTTTGCACTGTTCCACTCCTTAACCTTCTCTTCAGTAAGATAAGGCAGCCCTGAGTAGTTGTACTTTCTGTCTTTCCTTGTGTTCTCCAAGTGGTTTTTCAGCCTGGATCCATTGTGTACAAATGCTTTTGTTTGTTTGTTTGTTGGTTTTGGGTTTGGGTTTTTTTTTTCACTTGGCTACTTTTTCTTCATCCTCCCTTGAACGGAAAGGTTACAGCCCGTAGCAGGGAAAAGCAGTCCTGGCATGTGTCTGTTGGCGGTTGAAGAGAGGGCTCACAGAGATGGGGAAGGCAACAAAGTGGTCCCCATGCTGTCTTCTCTTCTCCTGGGCAAAGAACGCTGCCTGAACCAAAAATGAAGGGTAGAAAGTAATCAGCTGCCAGTTACTGCTCATTTGTGATCTACTCTGTCTTCCTCTGTGCCTTCCCAACTGATTAAGTCCTGACTTCTTGGCTCACTCACAAACCTGCAGACTACAAGGGACCATTGTGCCTTGTTTCTCTAATCAGTGTGATTAGCTTTTATTTGCAAGAGTTAACAAGTGAATTTTTAGGTGATGATCTGCTTGAAACTAGTTAGAACAGATAAACTGGTTTTCTCAGGATGGTCTTCAGAGCTTTCTGAAGATCCAATCCATGCAGTGGGTTCCTGGTTGCTGAAACCAAGCCACTCAAGACACCTAGAAGGTCTTGTGTTGACCTCTGTGGAAACATTTCTGGTACCTAATTGTATTACAACATGAATGCTACTCTGGGTCAAGACAAATGTCTACCTGGTCTAGTGCCCAGGTCAAAGTATATCCAGTGGTGGAAGGCTGGAGAGGGAGTACGGCGAACACGGTAAATTAGAGTAATAGAACTGACTCTGACTCAAAATTGTCATGTAAGGAACAATATGCAAACAATAGATATACAATTGAAATGCTTAATAGTCTTTTTACTGCTGTGTTACTGTTACATAGAACATTCTGTTATCCTAAAGACAATGTTCTCCCTCTATTTTTTTAGATTTCCCATTTCCTTTTACTTGGCTTGCTGGATACCTGGCTATGCTTGCAGGGGCTGGTATGACCTTCGTTGTCCAAAGTAGTTCTGTTTTCACATCTGCTATTACACCCCTTGTTGGTAAGTTGTCAATACAGTATTCTTTATCTCCACATTTTATCTTCTCCATCATTCTGAAACCACTCAATCCTGTCTCTTTTCTCCTAGGCATTGGCGTTATAAGCATTGAGCGCTCTTATCCCCTTACCTTAGGAGCTAACATTGGCACAACCACAACAGCTATTCTTGCAGCTTTAGCAAGTCCAGGGAGTACATTAAAATATTCATTACAGGTCAGTATAAACCAATGCTTCCTTGACTTCACAAGAAAAACCTGACAAATTTGGCTCTCATGCCAATATGCCATGAATGTCATGCTTGATTGTTGAGTGTGCTATTAATGACAGCTCATTCATTTCAACTACTAGAGTGAAAAGCTTGTATTAAGCATTCCCAGAATGTCAATGTATAGTAAAAGCTTGCTTTCATAAATTGGGCTTGACCTGACTGAATTAATTCAGAACTGAGACAGGGTGGGACACTTGACCCCTGAGCGTGGGGTCTCTGCAGCCTGGGGTTCAGTGCCCACATCTCTGACAACCCTCTTAGGTAGTCCGCTATGAGGGTTGCTCATTTCTCTAAGCTCCGTCCTCTGGGCCCTAACGCTGTTCATGCTGTGTGCAGGGAGGGACTCCTGTAACCCAAGTGACAGCTGTACAACCCGTAAGATGGCAAGCTGTCTACCTACCTGAGGTTACAGTGAGCATTGTGGCATCTATTTTCTCATTGTAAATCTAATCTAAGTGGGTTTTATTGAATTCCTTGTTACCTCAGACTATTTGAAAAGTAGGCAGCCTGGCTTTGGGCTCCAACTTACCGCCCAGTAAAGAACATTCCAGGCAGAAGATAACATTTGAATGAACCCTCTGCATCAAAGAGTGAAAAGATAATGAAGTCTTCTTTGTGAATAGGATGAATGTTTTTCACTAGCCACAATAAATTAAGAAAATAACAGAAGCCATTTTATTGTCCTCAGGCAAGATAGAACAGATGTAATCATGAGAAGATAGTATCTTGACCAAGCTCAGATTTCATGATAGCTTGCTGTTTTTATAACGTACTTTAAAAATAAAACCCTGTACTTTCATGTTTACTTTAGTCTGATAAGAGTTATAGAATTAAAAATAAGATAAGGTGAGCAGGGAATGTACTATTTTGTTCTGTATATGCTTATTCTGTCTAGGCAACTTCTGAAAGCTTTAGCAAGTAGGTGTCTACATGCTTATACTTCAAAAAATAATTTTGCAGTATGTGAATGAAATTATTACAAAAGATCCAGTCAAAGTCACATTCCAGGAATCTCCTCAGTGCCCTATGAACTTTTAGCTAACTTTTGGAAAATTCAAGTTTGTACCAGTAGCAATTCCTCAATAGCCTGTACACAAGATCTAGTTTACTCTTGCCACCTTTTAATTGAAAACTTATGCATGCAGAACCCAATAATGAACAGTTCTCACGTAGTTCTCATGCCTTACTAACAACAGGACTGTTTCCCGATAGCTGCTTGGTTTGTCAGCTTTATTTCTGATGGACTCCATTTCTTGCAGTTGAAAGCTGTATTTAGGCTGCGTGTCGTCCCTTCTAGGTTTGCCTTGTGTCCACATGCTGTCCCCTGTTTTTACGCAGTGATCTTTACAATGTGTGAGGTATTACTGAGTCCTTGCTTTGTGCTAGGAAAGGCCTTGCAGTGAAATAACATGAAAGACAAGAAAAAAACAGTGGGAAGCAAGGGAAGGGAAACTACGCAGCCTTAGTACCACTGGGAGTTACTGTCCTGTGGGTAGGAGCATTTAAAGGTATTTTAGTTAATGAACTTCTCAAATGTTTGTGCTTTCAGATTGCCTTGTGCCACTTTTTCTTCAACGTCTCTGGGATTATTCTGTTTTATCCACTACCTTTTACCCGGCTGCCAATCCGCATGTGCAAGACCTTGGGAAACATAACAGCCAAGTACAGATGGTTTGCTATATTTTATCTTCTGGTCTGCTTCTTTCTTCTGCCTCTGTTTGTATTTGGTCTGTCACTGGCAGGCTGGCCAGTCCTTTTGGGTGTTTGCCTTCCCCTGTTTGCTCTTTGTATTGCTGTGATTGTAATTAATGTTATGCAGTCAAAGCGACCACATTCACTGCCTGAGAAGCTCCAAAACTGGGATTTCCTACCCATCTGGATGCACTCCCTAGAGCCCTGGGACAATATAATTATGTCTTCGCTCGCCTTTTGTGGGAAACACTGCTGCGGCTTCTGCAAGTGCTGCAAAGTCAATGCGGAACAGGAGGGTGCCAAAGACAAGCAGCTAAAAACTATGGAGGTTTATGAAAACACCATCGCAATGGCTGATGAAGAAAGAGGTGGAAGAAGGGCACCAGCTGTAGCTTGTGTTGAAAAAACAGGCACAAACAACACAGCCTTATAGTAGCGGATCAACCCATATTAGCGGAGATACAGCATAGGACAGTCAGGCTCTTGAAAACCACCTTGGACAATGCACTGAGGACAGAGTGAACATTTTGTTAGGTTCCTGCAGCCAGCGATATATCACTCATCAAGGAATGGAGTCAAACAAGCTTGACAGACTTGCTAGAAAATCTATGATCAGTTGAAAAGCTAATGACAGGTTGGCTTACAGAGGGTCTACTATGCGGTATCTTCATCCAATGCTATCAGTAGCAAACAAAAGAAATTCTGATGTAGTCCCATGAAGACAGGGATGAAAGGAGTGATGATCAATTCAAACTTAATTTAAAAACAAGCAAACAAACAATGCATTTGTAGAACAGCCTTTCTGACCTACTGGCTTATTCAGCGGACGTTACTTATAATACCTAAAAAGCTCTGGAAATTGGAAAAAAAAGAAAAAAAGAAAAAAAAAGAGAATCTTAATGTTTTCAGTGGCCCGTTTGCAGTGGTTGAAATGGAAAATTGTAGTTTTCCCAGTACGGACAAAATCTTTTATATGTGTGTGAAGGAAAACAAAATGCTGGGACATCCTTCACAAGTTCTGTGAGTCCTGTTCTGGCATAAGGGTATGTATAAGCCCATTTTGAGCCCTCTCTGTCTCCTTAAACACCAGGGACAGCAGTTATAATCTTTTATTATCTCAAGCTAAAGGCCATACAAGTAATTGCCGATCCCTCTGCGTGCTGAAGGTTAAGCCCTGGGTTTGGAAATGCTGAGTATCTACCAAAGGCCTTGATGGACTCAGGATGTGGTTGTGGGGCCATTCCTCTCTCTCGACGATCCTCCCCAGTCCAGTTCACCACGTAGCCCCACAATCAGAGGAATGGTTCAGGAAGGAGGACAAGTGGCCAGTGTAGGGGAGGGGACAGCCACCCAAGCCTGGGGTGACACCAAGCCATCTATGTGCAGCTGTGGCTCCGTTTGGCTGAGCCACAAAATGACCTTTCAGAGTAGCGGTGGAGACTGGCTTTAGAGCTACAAAAGAGGGAACCTGGAGAACAGCTTATGGCTAGCGTGGGATGTACAGTAACATTTAGTGGAGAGAAAGGAGTGTTCGGTCTGCACCATCACTTTGTGCTCTGAACATCCCTGCTTGGAAATAATGTGAATTTTACTGGCAATCGTCTGTAGCAATCCAAATCCCAAATAAAATCCATAGGTAGTGTAGTCACTACCATGTGTAGTCAATCCATAGGTAGTATAGCACTTGGTGGGAAGCTGGTTGTGCTCAAAACTTACCGTTACTGATGTTTTAGTAAATGCTGGTGAAGCTGCTCTGAATCATGGGCTGACAAAAGGCACAATGTGAATGCCAGAAAAAGAGCATTTCGAAGACGCACTGATTACTTCTGCTGGCCTTCAATAGCTTAGATATCAGTGAGTAGGGGATAATATCTGAAGTCCAACTACTAATGATAAAAAAAATTAGGTGGCTGAAGGTAGGCCAAGTGTCATTTAAAGCCAGTTTACACGGCTGAGTTGTAGATAAAATTTGTAATGGAAATGCTGAGAAGACCCTTAGCTAAACATAGCCCCTCAGTGCTGCTAGAACACATTTACTTCTAAGTAGTTGTTTGTTTTCTGCAGAGCTCTGGAGTTCAGTAGGTTGAATTTGGCTATCTGGTAAATATGTACATTTTAGAAGTGAAAATTGTTTTAATTTACTTTTTTAAACTGATATTTAAACTGGCAAACTATGTTGCTGAAAGTGTGTTTGCAAATTGCATTCATACTGAGATTCCAACTCTTTCTGTAATTGTGAGCCAGTGACAAAATGCTTAGAATCAGAGTGAATTTCCAAAAGCATTTAGTTTTGGGATAGTTCTGCTCTTTTGGGGTTTAGCAGCAGAGAGCAGAGTTATGTCAGAGTATTCTTTTTAAAATTATTTTCCTTGTCCTTCCTATAGTTGAAACAGAATTTTGTTGGCATCTCATTTTTAAAGTGGAATTTTGATATCCTCAGTAATTCTTCGTTTTATTCTCACAATTCTGGATGCTTTCAGAATCTGTTTATTTAAATCCCAGCATGCATCTCCCATGCTCTGTTTCTTTGGGAAAAATATGAGAAAAATATCCAGAATTCTTTCCAAGATATCTCGAGTTTCCATTGATCACCCATTGAAACAGGAAACATTTTAATCTACCTTTACTCGTTTTTTAAATAACGTGCACTTTGTTCTGCATCTTGAGGTAAAACCATCAAGCACAGTGATAATAACTGTGGGAAAGCAGTTCCCACAAAAGAATCAGGGTAATAATTAATACTCAGACGTATCAGTACTTTATGGTTCCTCAGTGTAACGTTTCCCCTATGATCTGTTCAGTCCTTACTCTGCTCTCTCCTTGCTCCAGGCGATATCGGGCCATTGTTTTAGGTGAATTCTGACAAAGATTTCTGTTTAACACTTGACAGCACAACATGACCTGGCATATTTCCCCCCCCTACTCTTACCAAAAAATATTTACACTTTATTTATAATTATTTGAGTGTACAGAATTTTTCGTAAGTTATACAGAAAAAGGCTCGTGATTGTGTTATATATTACATATTTGAAAACTATGCAATGTTTATCTATAAAAATGTAAAAAGGAACTACTGTATATTTTGTAATATAACTTTTCAAATTGTTTGTAACTGTGTATACTGCGTATTATGGAGGCGGCTGGCTCCACCAATAGGTTACATAAAGATTGTTAGCAATGCAGAGACAGAGTTCTCAAAGTAAGGATGAAAACCACCTACATACTTTCATAATATGGCTTAATGCACAAGGATATAAAACTCTACTTTTCTAAAAGATTTGACTTTTCTGTAATGAGGAATTTTGGAAATACAGGGTTTCTAAAGTACTTTTTTAAACTCTTAAACACTGCACCTTTTAACTGTTTTGAGGACAGTATATGGCTTTATACTTTGTCATGAATATTCATCTTGTCTGTCCTCGTGCATTGAATGTAAAAATAAAGAGAAGTTTTAAAAAAAATAAGATCTTTTCATAATATCTGTCTACATATATATCATGGAAACTTGCAGAAGTATGCAGAGAAGTTCTAGTCTGAGCTGATACAATGTACAAGGTTAGCATCAAGCACTAAAGAAAACCACCAGAGACCTGTGTGTCCAACATTTTCACGAGTGAGAGATTTTCATAGGAAGAAAAATAAAGATAATTGCTTAGTGCAATTGTGTGGGTCAAGACATTTCCCGGCAGGGTTCTGCAGACTATCCTCAGTGAAGGCAAGCATGGGAGAGCAAAGCCAGGGCTGTTTTAACAACAGGATGCCTGATGAGTTACAGCAAATTATATGTATCACTATGCTCAGCTCAGATTCTCCCTTCCACATGAAAGGTGGCCAAGAGTGTTTACAAAATGCTTCTTATATACCGTGGCATGAATGATGTCTGGCTTATGATTGGGCAACGATGGCCATCTTGCTCCTTTTTTTAATCACATGTGACCTTAAAAATTAAGCAGATGGAGAGAAATAAAAAGAACTCCTTAAATGCCTTAAAGATAGATAATTAAAAAGGGTCATTAGATTTCCTAACTACAAGCTCAACACTAGCTGAGGAACCAGCCCTAAAAGCAACTGTTATTCCCAACTACACCATCTTTTAGTGAAATGAAGATAACAGAAGTATTTCTTAGAAAGTAAATATTTATACACTACTGTGTAAAATGTGTTCTTCTAAAAATGTAAGCAGTAAACACCCTAGGCCTGTGATTTAAAACTTATCACTTCTTACACCCATGCAGAGATACTGTAGTTCTGTGTGCCACCACCCTCCATTCCTCAATCAGGAATCAAAGAGCATCCAGGAAACACGCATAGGTTGTACCATCCATCTCACCCTTTCCAAACTCTTTGAGGAGTTACCTGGGGCAAAGTTCAGCAATGCCTATAGGATTTAACAGCAGGTATGTCATGAAACGTTGCACTGATTGGAAACCTTCCAAATGTTCAAAATAATGCTTCAGCTAACTGCCTAGTTGCTCCTGTGACTGTTCTCTGACCTCTTCCTCTCTGTTTGCGTCTTAACCATGTTGTCCACAGCCCCTCCTGGTGCTCCTGTGCTTTTTTACCCTCTGCTGAAGTTTCACGTTCACTTCCCCCGGGGTCAAATTCTTGATAACGCTGCATTTAACTGCACCAGGCCTACCGCCATGAAGGGTTCTCATCAGTCAGAAATGCAGGTTAAATGCTTCAGTGCCTCTTTCTTCAGCTGACCACGTAGTGGTGGGCACCCAGGCAGGTCCCCAAGACAGCTGCTGGGCCGTGCTGCTGAGAAAGGCTGTTCTCTGATTTACAGAAAATAGTTTGGGGGCACAGACTGGTGTGGTACCACTGGCAGTAGCTTAACCAACACATGATAGCAAAGGATCTCACCCCTCAATTAAAAATAAATAGTGAGCAGGACTGAGCAAAAATTCACTATTTCAGAAGCTGCGTAAGGGCGGATGTACTCTACACAGATAGCAGGGAATGCCAGGCCACACTGCAGCTGCGTAATTTCAATAGGCTGTGCTTCCATGCAAGCACTTTGTCTGCATTCAGATATTTTTTTCTCTAGCTAATGGCCAATCCTGGTGTTGCCACATGCCAAAGGCATGACACTGTATGTATAAACCCACTCAGGATACTTTTACGGTGAATACTCTGTAGATCTTAGTCCCTTTAGTGCAATTCTACTATGAAGGAAACACGTGATTCATATGAGAGAGCCAAATGTTTACTTTGCATATTGGATGGTAGTTATACTGATTTTCATTGAGCTGTCCCTAGGCGTGTTTCCCCTAACAGCTGAGATCCGAGTGTTTCAACAAGACGGAGAACCAGAGTGAAGGCTAGCATTAAAATGCGACAAACATTCCGTCTTACTCAGCACCTGATGAAATTCCCTAATTGCCATTTACACTTTTGGGGTGTATCAATCTTTTTACACTGCTCAAGCTCTAAGGACATGTTACCACAGCATAAACAATCAGGGTAATTACAGGAGAAGATATTTGGCAACCAACACCGCAGTTGATAGATCGGGTTTTTTACACAATGCAAAAAGCATAAATTACAGGGCTTGCAAACAATTTATGGACTAAACACTGCCCTT